TGTACTTCTGGTAGTCACCACCTTGTCCACCACCCTGGGCACCCTTGGCCTGGCCTTGCATGTACTTCTGGTAGTCGCCTGCGTACTGGGACATGTACTTCTGATAGCCACCGCCTTCTGCAGATTCCTTTGGGGATCCAAAAGTTTGTCTTTGTCTGATGTTTTTAAATGTAGGTGTTTATCGAATCTCTTAAGGTCGGCATTTCTTGTTCAACACCAGCGTTTGCGCATGTTCTTTCACAGAGTTTAAGGCTGAAAGCTGCACACCAAAATTATATAACCAGATCCAGAGACACTTCCGTCATGCCACACTAATGGCGCACTCCCCGCAACATGTGAGCCGCGTCCTCCTTCTTGGTGTGGCCTTTGCTGGTGTCGGCAGCCATCAGACTCACGGCTTGGGCTTCCTTGGGGGCATCGGACTTCATGCCAGCGTATGTCTGGATGTAGTCTTGATATCCGGAGCCTTTGCCAAACTGCTTCAAGTAATCGCCGGCATATTCGGAGATGTATTTCTGGTAGCCGTGGCCCGTGGCCAGCGGGACAAAGGCCAGCACGAAGGCTAAGGTTTGGAGAGCCATTGCGCCGAACCACGTCTCCAGAAATGAATCCTTGAGCCTTTTGGTTTTTTGGAGGTGCGCTTGGCCAAACAAAGGAGAAAGCACGAACATGACCGGCATCGTGGCTTTTAGGATCTTTTAGGCCCTTGTTTTTGCGAGACCTTTTTCTGTCCTACCATTCAAGTCGTGAGCAGTCCTCTCCAGCATTCGCGGTTCTCTCTCACTAATCTCTGCATGCTTGCATGCTGGAACAGGCAAACAACGGCTTCAACCACGACATCCTTGAAAGAACCACACCCAAAATACCCTGAGTCAGATCCTGTTCCTCCAGTCGAGTGATCAGTGATCATCAGTACTCAGTACTCTCTACCTCTCAGGGTACGAGCACCCAGCCGCCGAGGTCCCACACCCAGCTGCCGCCGAACTGCCCTGACCGACCACGTGTCACCACAAAAAAAACTGGAGGAAAAAAGGATCACGTAGAAGCAACTCACATTGATGCTCACTGGGATCACCCTTCTCCGTTTCGTTGGAGTCGAGCTGGGGATCGGGGATCCTAGGTCCATGAAAAGCAGTTGTTGGACGACCTTTGCAGCAAGGGGTCTTAGGCTGTCACCAAAACAGGGACTGCTTTTTTAGGAACCACATCCAAGATTTTAAGTTCAAAATGCGTCTGCTCCTCCCAATCACGGTAAGTGAGCAGGCTCTAGGGAGAAATGTCACATCTTCAATTTTGTCCTCCAATCATGGAAAACACACATAGGAGGTGGTGGGAGGCAAGTGGAGGGGATATGGAAAGAGAGTCGGGAAGGTGGCAGTGGTCGCCGGGGCAAGATGAGTCACTGGAAGTTCTTCTGGGCATGCCATACTATTGCATTAAATGCAAACTGTCACACGAAAAAGGATCCCGTTTAAACAGTTTGACTATTAGGTTATACGATAAGGTCGTCCATGGTCGTCCATTTGGGCAGCCACCCCTACCCTACTTTCACACCCCGACCCGTGACGCCGCGCCTCCAAAACCAAGCACCGTGCCGCAGTGCGTTGCGGCGGAACCCACGTGGCGACGGGGTGGAAGAGCAGAAGCCCCCCAAAAGAAAGGCCCTGAATTCGCCAAGTCAAAAACTGTGTGTTCATGATTCATGATTCATTCTCATTTGTGTCTTGGGATGTCTGCCGAAAAAGCCTTGCATTCGCACCTTCTGTGAGCCAGACACCAAGCACATCATGCTTTTGTGGGCCAGCTGGTGATCGCAGCATGCTGAGTGCAAAGTAGATTTGCAGAAACATCAAAAACCTCAATTGACATTGTCATCATTGTCATCAAGGAGAAAGCGAAGCAAAACAACGAGGCACCACGCGACGCATGATTCCGAGGAAAGAGTTGGAAGTCCAAGGATCTGTAAAGCTGCAGCGGAAATAGAAAAACCCACTGAAAGGACTTGGATTGAAAGCCGCTGGTTTTTTTTTTGGGCAGCACGCAGGCTGGCTCTTTCCCGATGTTCTGGGGTGAAAGCTGACATTTCAATTTCTCATTGACTTGCATGTTTGCAACTTCGTTGATTGCATGCTCAACTGTCCAGTTTGGATCAGGAGAGCAACTCTGAGAGCATCTCTAAGAGGACTGAGGGAGGCTTCCAAAACTCAGAGCAAAGATGTCCATGAAGTACCCACTCCCGACACCCCCGTCTTCGCTCATGCTCACTCGAGGACCTCCACTTCTGAAGGCTGAGGCTTCCCCTTGGCCTTGGCCTTCGCTCTTCTTCGAGCTCTCCGCAGGGCCGCGCGCGACGACGTCGCGCCGTCCTCATCCGCTAGGTCCACGATCTCCTTGGACTTGCCCGACTTGCCATTCGCCACCGCGATGATGTCGAGCTCGGCGTCCTCGCCGTTCGTCGCGCCATGAGGTCGGCCCTTCTTCGGCCGCTTGGAGGGAGACGCTGGGATCAGCTCCTCATCCGAAAGCTCCTCCTCGATCTCTGCCTGAACGGTGCGCTTCTTCTGCTGCTCCCGCGTTTGCCTTCGCAACTCCAGGCGGTCCTCTAGAGTCAATTTCCTCAGAGGCTCCCCCACATGCTTGGGGTTGTCGTTGATATCTACGTCTTTTCGATACTTCTTCTCCTCGCCGTAGCGGTCCCAGCCGGCCATGTAGGCCGGGCGGCTAAGCCCTCTCTAAAGAGGACGGAAAAACAGCAGTCCCTTTGAGCCTGACAGGTTCAGGTCAAACCTGGATAGGGGGGGACACCTCTTGTCTCAGCTGGCTTTGGACCACGGCTTAGCAGCCATCTCTCTAGACTCTAGCTGTTCTGGGTCTAACGGACCGGACGAAGCACGTGTCCCATCGTGTCCCGTGTTCCGACGAAGCACGACGTGCTCTGTCCGTCAACTCAACAGATTGGGGTCGGACAACAACAAATTCTTCCACTGCAAGGGGGTGGTTCTCGTGCCTGGACACCAAGCCTGCTTGTCAAAGGATGGCGTTCGGCCGAACCCTTTTGCCCACATGACCCAGGCATCGCTGGTTGGGTGAGACAAGCTCAGATCCCAAACGGGTGGTTTCCCGTTTTGCCGAGCGGGTTCCCCCTGACGAGTAGTTGGCGCCGTTGCGGGCGGTTTCTGTCGTCCACACTCCGAGCACAAACACCGAACACATTTCAGATGGTCAGCTGGTAGAAGTGAACTAAGCTGACAAAATCACAACCTGAACCTAAACTTGATTGTCAGCTTGAGGTTGAAGGCGACCTCCCTAAGTGCACTCATGTCAACGAATGAAACCCCGCTCAAACTCACTCAGCCACGGATTCCGGGTGTCCCGGTGTGCTGGCCGCGCGGCGCTTGGAAGTTGGAAAAGACCTGCACCTTTCCAGCCCAACCATTGGGTCGAGCAAATCCCAAACGCTGTTCTAAACTGTGACTTGGGATTTATTCCAAGGGTCTGGCTCAGGGGGAGGTGCTTGTCAAATGTGTATGTGTCTTTTTCTTCCGCTGGGGCGGTGCATGCGGAAGCCCTCCGAACCAAAGAAAGAGAACAAACGTTGACACTCCAGCACTGGCAATTGAGTGCCGCGTTTCTCCCCTCAACCATGCACCGGGCTGCGTTTCCGTGATTCTTTTGAGCTCGGGGTGGGGCCTGGCAATGACAAATGAACCCATCGCAGCCCCTCGAGGCGATCAACGCTTGGCGTGACTTGATCTGGATGGAATCCAGAGTTGCAAAAAGCTCTTCAAGGGGATTGATCCTTCTACTCCGATGTGATTCTTTTGAAATGGCAGGGACTTCTAAAGACTTCCAGAGCGTCGCATCGCGCGCGCCTCATGGCACGCATTTCTAGGCCCCTCGGCCCCCTACTCATCGTCGCTTCTGAAGGGCGACAATGGCCTCACCGCACGAGGGCCATATGGCATCTGTTCTTCGACCCAACGAACATCAGCTGGGACCATCAACTAACTGCTTAAGCCTATCAGCCTTACCTTCAGCATGTCCAAGGCCCTCCCGCCCATGAGGCCATCCCAAAAGCACCCTCTCGGACGGACCAACGGTCACCCACAGCCGCAAGTCGACGCCCCAAAGTCGACAGCCTCGACCTGGCCCCTCCCTGACCCTCGACCATTGCTTCCCTCCGCCTGTTGCATCCGATTGGTATTGGATACTTCAGTTTTCCTGGCAGATCAGTGCGCTAGACTCGCATGTTCCTGTGCGTATATAGTACACATCACATAGGTAGAAATTGGCTAACACCTATCATGAGTCCACAAAGTGATCAGCTGCGACTTCACAAAAAGAAGCGCCAATGCCTTTGATCCAGTGCTATCACCTGACTCTGCAGCAGTTCGACCACCTTCAACTTTATCGACTGAGCACCTCCTTCCAGCCATTGCCAAGCCACGGTCTGTGACAGGACGCAGGAGGCAGACTGTTACCCGGTTATAGGCTAGGGGTTCACTGTAAGTTCAAGATTGCACATCAAACCCCGGGCATTGTGCCATAATTACTTACAGTAACTGGTGCCATCTTGCAGTGAGGTCCTATACCCGGTGACGATTCTCTCGCTTGGACCGTTCCTGTATCCAAACATCAGCTTCGAGGGGCTCCTGACGAACGAGAACGAGTCACCCGTGCGGGCACGCACTCTCACTTAGAATATGCTGTTCGTCTGATGGTTTCCACTCCTTGCACAAGTCATCACAAGTCCCACGATTGGTTGTTCTAGTCTAGTCGGTGGATGTTCATCCGCCAGCCAGTTCCATCATTGGCCCAACCAAAAGAAGAAACACCTATATATTTATAACTATATAAATTCATAAGGTCACAACGGAAACGGAACTCCTCAACCCAGAGGTCCATTTTTTCAGACTAGTTCGAGTTGCCCAACACCAGAACCCTGGCAGAACCATGCACCATCCCAAAAAAAGTATCAGCCGACCATGGTTGGTGCAAATCGCACCCTGGACAGCCGACAAATCGCACCCCTTCTGGCCTTGTGCTTGGTGAGAGCGCTCAAGGGTAGCGGTCTTGGGGCCGCGATGCCCGGAGCGCCCTAGGGCAGGACGCGGTGGGACGGACGGTGGGACGCTCTGTACATGGATCGGAGCTTCGGAACACCTTCAAATCCTTCAACAGAGCGGAAGGAGCAGTAGGAAGCAAACCTTCTTCCAGAAGCTTCAACCACCTCCAGTGGTCTCCCTTAGTCACTTCCCGCGTCCCTTGCTGAACATTCGACACGTGCTCTTGGCACATCTCAAGCCTTACAGCCTCCTCCCTAGTCCTTAGCCAGGCCACGCTTCCAAGAAAACAAAGGGCCTGGCCTCGATCAAACCCTCCACAACCTTTGCCAACTTGGCCTCTTGTGCCCTTGACAGCTTCGGCTTCTTCTTCGCCTGGGAGCTGAAGACTTGGACCGAACACGGCTCAAAATGGACGAAAACATGTCGTATTTAGATGGGGAAGCGACTGGATCGGTGAACCGTTCGTGCATCTATGAAGCAATTGGTCTTCCACGTGCACGAGATTCCTGTCAGCAACCACGAACGTGTCTTCAATTAATTAATCGTCTTCTCCCATGTCAGGGATCTCTCCCTCCCTCTCTCTCTCTTCCGTCCGTGCGCATCTCTCAAAAAGCAGCTTAGCGGACCGGACGAATTGGGGTCATGATGTCTCTCTCCCTCCCTCCGAACATCGGGCGGCCTGGGCCTGGGCATCCTTCTTCTTTTGTCGCTCCTGCAGCAGGTCGCAGGTCAGCGCTGCCCTCTTCGTCAGTCTGGTCAAACACGGGTGTTTCATGGTGTTTCCTCTTGCAAACTCAAACTTACCTCGAAAATCTCGAAGATTGAAAATTCGGACGGAAACCACATTGATCGCACGTAGAAACTGCTGGCGACAGCTCCACCAGAACGAGCAGCTCCTTGTCTTTTGAAAGACTTTTGGTCGCAGCCTCCACATTCCATGATCTCTCAACAACTGTATCGAAATCAACAGAGCGAAGTCGAAGTTATTTCGAACTCGTGCTTTGAGATGCTTTGAGTCTCATTGGAGAATTACCAGACTGATGTCCAAATGTCTGCAGACATCCAAGCCTCCTGATTTCCAGTTCAGTGTTTTCCACTGCTTCATCGGCTGAACAACGAACGTCGTTCGGGCGATCTCTACGGCCTTCTTGCTGGTCTTGGCCGTGCTCTCGCTACCTGGCACCGGGCGACCCTTCTCGAGAGAACAACACACACGGGTGGGGAGATGAGCAAATCTCTCAAACCGACCAGCCAGGATGGCCCATGTCAAGACACCACTCAGCTGACCTGCACAGGGCAGAAGTCAAAAACCTGGAATACATCATGAGCCAACCAGGCTGAACATCCGTGGGCCAGCTGCTTTGAAATGGCATGGCGCAGCGCACAGTCATGGCCAAATGACTGCTGGGTCAAATGGGAATGATGTCACTGGGGTCCCAACCGCTTGTGACTTTCATGTGCCCAACAAACTGTATAGTTACATATCTATATGGTAGGATGGATGCATGTATGTATGTATTTCGAGAGTATAGACAGGGATCAAAATTAATGATAATGTGATGAGTCAATCAATGAGACAACAAAAACATCAACAACAACATCAGTCGAAACCTATACTGACTTCAAAAACAGAAGAGCCCCTTTATAAGAGGGGATAAGTTGAATCAAGATATATATAGATGTGCTAATCAGCATAGAGAGAGCGAGAGACAGAGAGATAAAGATTTCCTTCCACGGTCCTGAACAGATTCCCCGAGTCTTGTTCCCTGCCTAAACCAAGAGGTGTGCCACCCCAAGCCACGCGCTCACGGCATCGGCTCCGCCGGCAGAATGAGCACGGAGAAGAAGAAGAAGAAAAAGAGCAGAAAAGCAGAAGAGCCAACCAACGGTGGGAGGGAAGCTGATGCTGGATGTGATCCTTTACATCTGAGCATTGAGCGTCACTGTTTCAAGGACGAACGCATTTTCAGTCTCCATGTGTCTTCAAGACTGAGATTGGCTAGATTTTGAGAATCCTTGAGATGGGGATTCTGGAGAAGACCCCTCCCTCATGAAACGCAGGGTTGGAAGACCTGTGATCTGGGCAGGCATATCACATATCTTCTGGTTATCTAACTTTGAGGCCAAATGCCTGCTCATGGCACCATGTCATGTCTATCCATGCGTCACAGCATCGGCAAGCGAGAAGGACTCACTGCAGGTCTATCACGACAAACGTGTCACATGCCTCCACCGCATCAACCCCAGGCAGTTCAACCCTATGACTCCCCTGTACAGCTCAGCCTCTTTTCATCGAATCTAGAACTTGATCTTTAAACTGTCTAGATCTGGAAACGAAGTCTATGTACCTTCTGCAGGAGTAGCATTTGGGTCGGACACAGGCCCAGTTCAGTCATATCACATATCTGAGTACCACTTGAAATGAGAAAGGTCCGTCGCCCACTGCTACCCTGCTCCAGCCGATGCCGGGTCATAAAATATGTACAGGCTTCTTCAGCCTTAGACAGGCTGCCACGCCAGCAAAGGGCCTTCCGCCAAGGGAAGTAGGGCTGATGCTCACCAAGGCCTTCCTCCAACTTAGCCGATCACTCATGGCGCTACGTCGAGCCTACTGGCCGAACTGGCCCCATCCAGTTCAACGAACACCACATTCCATCACCCCTTTGCCGACGATGGGCAGCCCTTTCCATTCGCTAACCCTGTGTACATGGTGGGCTCGGCCCGGAAATCGGCCTTCAATCCTTCACCCCAGCTTGTGCCCGCTCCATCGCTGAGATGATGTGCTTACCATACCTCCGAGGCGAAGACTCACCAAAAAAGCCCTTTTGACACGAGCAACAAAAGATGGCAGGAGGCGGCTTAGGAACTAGTTTCGGGCTCAGAGTCAACGAGCTCTTGTTCCACGGCTTGGACACGATCACGGCGAGGCACGTGTTGGACTTCTTCAAGACGGGCATGTGCTCCCGCAACTTGGCAAAGAGCATGTCCCGCTGCGGAAGCTGGGCCAACGCAATCACGCGCTGCACAATGTAGTTCCCGAACCTCCCAACACCGTGCGCGTTCCGCCGCGGGAACCGCGCGGCGGGAGACTTCGGAAGGCGCCGCACCAACCGACTAGCTGTCCCTCCCTTCTGTTGTGTGCTACTGCTGCTACTGCAGCGGAACTGCTTCTGCACAGCATGATTGGATTGGCCTTCCTTCTCGCCTGGGCCCCCTGAACCAACCCCCGTGCCTGTCTCGCATCATGACAAGCAGGGGCGGGTGTGGATCATTGGGTTGTCCACAAATGGCCTCGCAGCACCGAACCAAACACACAAAACCACCCGCGACGCGCGCCAGCCCGCACATCGCGCGGGGGCTGGTGGTCTCGTGTCGCTCGTGCTTTGGTGACCGTCCAAGTGGAAATCACTGGCACCCATTCGTGGTGGCCGCCTGGCCACCCCTCTTCCATATGAGCTCCAATCCCATCGAATCTGCCATGCTTGACACCCACCATACCCAGATGGATCCCAAAAAGGGCTGGAATCCTACCCAAAACGGCCTGCCTCGGCTTCTTTGTTTGGCCTACCCACCTCGAGCTCGGGGCGCGCGGACTCTCTCGGGGCGCGCGGACGAGTCGGTGCCTCGCCTCCACCAAGAGCGCTCTCTCGTCTGGAGTCGCGCACTGGAGCGCCTTCTCAATGACATTGCTGGCATATTTGTGGCCTCAAACGACATACAGCTGCGGCCCACCACGGCCGAGGTGACCCACATCCACAGCTAGGCCACAGGTGTAGACTCTTCTTCTACACAGCTCGGACCGTCTAGGCCACTTCGGTCCGCGGAGCTGACCCACATCCATCCACATCCAGACCCAACCAGGGTGAGGTCCCCACGTTTGACTTGGTGACTTGCTTTTGATGGAACCGGAGAAAGCAGAAAGCCCGGTTCCGGACATGGTGGACAGTGCAATTGAGAAAGCCGAGGGAAAAGCGTCAGAAGTCATTCTAATCCTGACCACCGTTCGGAACACCTACAGGTGTTCGAGCCAATCGGAGAAGCTGAAGACCTCGCCAGGACAACATACAGTATTTAAAACTTAATGTGTGTTCTTCATAGATCTTTTTGTGGAGGATGTGCAAAAAAGGTCCGAGCCACACGAGAGGGACAAAATGTTCTTTCGGATGATGTTCATCACGTGTTGACGATCACCCGGGCGACTGCTGTGCTCCATGACGTGTTGCACCACCTCGGCGTCAGGGTTCGGACCGGTTCTGATCGGTTCTTCCCATGAAGTCAGAAGGCAGAAAAAGTGAGGGGTTGAACAACGTAAAGGGTTCCCAAGAAAGAACATCGTCGTCATCATCACCATCATTCCATCATCATTGGGTCAGCAGGATCTTTGGGTCATTTACCCATCATCAATATGTTCTTTCAAATGGTACTGATACTGACTTAATTCTTAAGAGATTTCTCACTCACTTGCCACCATAGCGTTTCTCGAATTCAACCGCGTCGTTGATTTGCTGGAAAAGAACTGGGGCCTGATGTTACTGGTGCTGGAATGGCACGTCTGGACAAGATATTGCATCTAACACATTCCCTGGACCTTTCTTGCTCGGCCATGACATTTCCTGCAGAAGTCTCACCTCCAGGTATTCGCGCGAACATGCCATACCATCAAGCAAAAGTCTCAATTGTCTAATTACTCTTGCTCTCTAAACATTCTAAACTCAGCCGATTCTCGTGAGTTCCACTCACTTCTTTCCAGGTCGCATAGTTCCCATACTGGTCCGTGGCCAGCTCCATGCCTGGGCTCGGTCCGAACCCGCGGGCTCCCACCGCTGGAGCGGCCCTTGGACCGTACACGTCCTTCAACTTGAAATTGGTGCAGAGCAGGTGGAGTGAAACATTGCAAGTCCGACGCAACACATCCCCCCCTGTTCGAAGACTAAAATTGAACACTCACCTATAGTATAGCCTATGTGCGCTGCCTACCACAAAACAGAGTAATAAAAACCATGGAGTTGACGTCCATGATTTAAGATTCATTCATATCCACTGACTGTCTCATGATTGGCAGTTGTTGTGTTGCAAATGACTTACATAATTGTTTGATCTGTACTTTGCAATTTTCCCTGTTTACAAGTGACATACACTGCGAAGAAGTGTAAAAACAACTGGAGACATCAATGGCAGGCTTCTACACCCCGTTGGAAGACTGAGAGGCAAACTGCACCAAACTGATACCAACCTCTGTCCAGATGTTGTCAAAACCAAGTTTTCTTCCCTCAAGTTTCTCCAGTTCTCGCTTAGCTGCTTAGCGTCCATGAGGCCCAGCCCCCCCCAAATCCCCCACAAGGAGACCAACCCGGATATCTCAATTATATAACTTTGTTCTGGTGACTTACCCTTGTGCACCATGCGCGGGAAAAAAACTATATATATATATACATTTATATGTACCAGGACCCTCCAACAGGTCACAACCTGCGACTTTTAAGTCTACAAAAGCCTCCAAAGGGAGACCTGTGGCATATTTGCTTAAAAAGGAAAGCGCCGCCCAAGCTGCAGCAGTGCAGCACCTCGTCCAGCAACGCCGAGATCTGCACGGAGGCACAGTACTCGATCAGCCGCTGAATCACCCGGCAGCCATAGCCTCCGCGGTCTTGGTTTTTAAGCAAACAAGTTCGGTCTGCGTGCATGTACCAGGCGAACTGGTGAACTATCTGGTGAGTCGCCAAATATGGATCGATCTGGATCCGCCCTGTTCGATCGCGGCCGGTCACGACCTGTGCCACCCACCTTCGTATTGCGTCAAGTGTATGTGGACCCCTAAGACCCGCCCCATTCCAAGGAACAGTGCTTGGCCATGCGTGCCGCCTGGCCTCGGACGGTGGCCACCGACGTTCTGTCCGGGTGAAGCAGGAAGGTGTGTCCCGACATGGCAACAGGGACTGTAAGTGGTCCCTCACACTAACCACTTCTGGGCTCCTATACGGTTGGAACCAAAGAAAGGATTACCAACCTGTGAGTGCCGCCCAAAAAATCTCCAGGACCCAAACAGCGCTCCCCCCACTTCGCCTTTGGGGTTCTGGAAACTGAGCACCTCATCGGTTCCCGTGCCACGACGATGTCCAGGTGTTCACCCCGGAGCCCGGGACGGCCCGGGGGGCGCGAGACGGCCGGGCACCACCGACTGGGCACCACCCGTAGCTTCGCTCCGCTCCACGGTCCGAGCCGCCCAAGAAGGAGTCCACGATGAAACCGATCCGATCCGTCGGGAGGCGCTCGATGCCTCGGGCGGCGGTGCGTTTGGTTCGGTTGGCCCAGTTTCTACTAAAAATGTGATTCTTGGGCAGCCTCAATGCAACCCCGAAGGTTCCTGGGCAGCAGCAAGCCTAGATTAAAGCTTCGGCCTTCCAGGGGGATTCGGCCTTGCAAGGCCAGGCACACTTCTGGATGACATGGTTCCCATGCTGGTCTTCAATGCACTTGAAGACCTGGGCGGAAGGCGGAACGTGGTGGATGGACCAAAGCGTCGCACACCGATTTGGCCAATGCATGTGCTGACCAGCGGCGTGTCCTTTCAACTCACCAATCAAGAGCACCTGCTGCTCAATCGGCACCGAGTCAAGAGCCTCCCAGTATAAAAAACAAGGGGTCAACAAAAAGAACTCCTCTCACAACTGAAGCCAAGCATCTAGCCATCCCACAGCTGTCTTAGGCTTTTCTGCAGGTCGCGCGAGTTGGAAGAACTCTGGGGCCCAGAGGTCGGTCGGAACAGCAGGGAACAGGCTCAGAACAGGCAAAGAGGTCTGCGTTTCACGTGTTTCTCTCCGGCCTTCTGCACGACCCGGCACCTGAGGAAGAGGAACAAACTCGGCTGTTCGCGAAAAGCAGGTGTGAAGAAGGGGCTGTGGCCAAGCAATCCGTGTCATCTTTCCCTTTTTATGATGGGTTTTGGACCGAACCAAGAATTTCAAGGACCATCGCCTTGTGTCCTTTCCGTTGGTTAAACCACAGCCACATGTCCAACCACTCTAGAAAACGGACGACAGCTCGCAGGCTCATGGAGCTTCTCTGGAGGGCTTCTCATGGTCGTCATGGGTCGTCTCGACGGGCCGACCCCGTTCCTGAACGGATTCCAAGGAATAGGGAGGCCGCCTTTCGCTGCATCCGACCCTGGTGCGACCCTGCATCGGACCATTCCGAGGCGCCCATACATCTGCAAGCTCAGCTTCAGCACCTGTCCGACCAGTTGCTCTGCCAAGATCCTCCGCTGCTCCGCATTGCCGTACCTCAGAGGTCCCCCACACGGTCCGGACGAGTCCGTACCTCGTGGGACTCGTGCCGTCCGACTGCTCACGAGGGGTCTTATAGAAGCATGTTGGCAGAATGAACTCGTGGAACGTGTGGAAGACAAAACGAAGAAGTAGATGCACCATGACGCAC